AAGTCACGAGGTCCGAAAGGTCCCGAGTTCGACCCCGTCAGAGTGCAATGATGAACCCTGCAGTGTAAACGCATCTTTCCCAAGATGCTACCATTCCCGTGAGAATGACGACCACTGCCACGAGCATTCTTTTTTTGCTACCTTGTACTTGATACTATTCAACTCGTCCATGCAATACACAAACAGCTTCGGCGCTCAACCACCACTTTAATTTTTTATATATATTGTTTTAGTAGGTTTGCAACACAATGAAAACAAACTTTACAGTTGAGGTAGTCGATCACATCTAGTGATTAACGTCACATGATCGCATGAATTCCCGTGACAATCTGAACGAAGCCTGTGTATGCTCATGATAGGCTGAGTTGCAGCACCGCCTTGTAAAATGCAATGAGTTGTGTCTCGTGGGCTGGAAACGAAATGGTTGGCATTGACGACTTGGCTTCGGAAAACTAGACAGGACGACAATAAGGCTTTACTACTGTTGCAGTGTCGGACGGATGTACGTACATCTTCGAAGAAGTCGACAACTTTGGGCTCGCCCATCATGCTCATGACCACTACACATGGACAGATAGATTCCCATAAACCCCTCGTTCAGCGATACACAAACGGAGCGCACCGTCGTTCTGTAGGAGCTTCTTCATCAGCTTCTTTGTGACCTTTACACGCTGAAACTCGACCTACGAATGTCCGTCAGAGCTTCCAAGATATATACGATGTTAAATCGGTTCATAATTGGAGTCGCCAGTAGAATACATCGAATACAGGCAAATCGATTTGAGAATGAACGAGCCCGTCAACCCACATTGGGTAAAGATAGATTTCTGCGCCAATGTCCTTTGGCATTGAGAAAACCCATATATATATATATCATATATATTATACTAAATACTGTACTATAACGCATATCAGGTTAAATAGAGGCAAATCGATTTGAAACCGCTTGTCCAAAGAGATGGACAATACAATGGTCGAGCGTACCGTTCCTGGAGTGTTTTCAGATAGACGTGGACTTTTGGTGGGGGAGATGTCAGCAGGTACATCTACTACTGGCAGTTGTGGCGACGACTTAGCCATGATGTCGTCCACCAACCTAAACGAACGTATATCCATTCAATCCACCATTCCCACAACCAACACGTTGACCGTACCGGCACAAGCGGCGCAAGAGCACTTGCACATTGGGTTGGTCGATGTGGAAGGCCAGCATGGTCGGATCTGACGCGATCTACCTCGTCGCAGAGTCATAAAAAGTGTGTGGATAGAAACCAAGTCAAAACCTCGAGCACGATGGCCTGGTCGTCGAGCGTCATGTCTGCTGTAGGACACAGCAACTTCGCTTGGATTAGCTTTTCCACCTACAAACTCTCAAGTATTTTGACTGTGCAGTCGACACAACGTACGGCAATCTCCAGCGGCATGTCTTGAAACTGGACGATTGGAGTTTCTAGTACGTCCATCGAGGTGGCGGGGCTCCTCGTCCTCCTACCATGGACACACGGTAATCAATATATGCGACAAGGTTCCGCAGAAACAAGTCGCTTTACGAGGATGACGTGGCAGCGTCCGCCGCCGCCGCTTGACCGATTTCAATGCCAACCACCCTATACGAATACATTTTGTACGATGTGGCGAGGTAGTAATAGTAGTAGTTCCTACGCTTGAACGGGACTACTAGTTGATGACTCGGAACTAGTGTCCACAGGCTCGTCGATGGCAACTGTCGTGGGTTGAGCCACTGGTACGATAGGATTTTGTTCTTGTGGAAGTTGGTTATGAAGTCGTGGTGGCACGTCCAGGGGGGTTGGAACTTGCAGAGCAACAGGTTGTCTAGATAGACAAGCACATGTTGGATTCGAAAGGTAGTCCAATATAGCTGGCTAAAATAGTAGTATATGAATACATTCCAATGTACTAACTACTATATAATGAAGTCACGTACGAAGCAGCCGCGGCAGCTTCAGCCACTAAAGTCGATGGGTTGTGCTCAATGTCCCTATACATTCAAACTCGAAGTCAACCACTGCATCATACTCTATATATATGTCTGACTGGATAAGGCGCTGCAGCATGCTTTGCACTCCAGGCATGTCGATGTGAAATGGCAAGCAACATGGGGTCCATAGCAATCTAGAGATTGTTTCTGTGAGAAAGCCCTTTGTATTTCTGATTCACCTCTCGGACAATTGCTTGATCTTGAGGCGCCATGTCCGATGTGGGATGAAGAAGCTGCAACCGGGCCAACGCTTGAACCTACAGAATCTCGAGATATTACAATGCATCTGTGACACTGTCTGTCATAACAATCCATCTGTGACACTGTCTGGCACGAGTACCGCGTCGTCGAGCGGCATGTCGGGGTACGGAATACGATCGGGATGTGGTTTGGGAGTGATAAACGCGCGCAGTTCCGTGTAAAAGAGGCGCAAGACGGGGTCGGTCGTCTGAAGGTAGATCACTGACGGGTCGATGCTAACTACAAATCATAATATATAATACAATATTTGGACTTTTGCAAGTATTAAAAATATATAAACATGTCGTGTGTGCCTCGTACGTTCTCGAAGGGCTTGTAGGATGTTTGGCTCGCCGAGCAACAACGCCATCTTTGGGTTGGACAGCATCTACATCAACCATCCCATGAGATCGTATAAAAACGATCTATCTATCTATCTATATATATAGACTTGGTAAATTCATTATATATATATATACACTTGGTAACTCTCGCCGCGACATTTGATTGGCTTTCCCGATTCCTCAGAATGCACGAAAAACAGAAAATAATATAGCCAATCCGCGACATGATTTTGTCCAGATTGACCAATCGGAGCGATTCGTGAATCGATTGAACGGGGTCTGGAAATTCGTACCAAATCAAACATATATATATATATATCATTTTCACCTTGTGCACTGTGGGGCCATCAAATTGCACTTTCAACACAAACGATTCCAAGGACGTGTCGTCGTCGGCACTTTGCACTTGCGTCGACGTGTACTTTTGCTTGAGTTTTTCAAACAGCACGCCTTCCCGCCCTCGAAACGTCCGCACAATCGACGACACTAGGCAGACATATATTAAAGATAACGAAATCCACGGGCTTGCCTTCCGCGAGCTTGGACGGATTGTGTTGGGCGTAGAATTGTGTGATCTGTCGAATGTAATTCCTAGTGCATTGTTATATAAAAGTCTGAAGGCAAAATTCCCAGGACATACTGCGTCGTGAGCTGCAACGACGCCACCTCTCGCGCCGCCAACCACATTCGAACCGTCTACAAAGGTTGAATTATATATTTATATATGTCGTATCTATATATATATAAAAGAGCAAGTGTGTCTGTGTGTCACGTGTGTGCGTTCCAGCAATTCGATTGGCCAAAATAACGCCAATCCAATTGCTGGAACGCACACATCTAATTCTAGATTACCCCACTTACAGTATACCGTTAAACCCCACTAATTCACATCACACGCTCACCCACCCGTGCGAAGCCGGGTCACGTGCACTAGTATATATGTACACTATATATATATGTATTCATCATTCCAACCGTCTACGAAGGTTGAATATATATATATATATATATAGAACACTTATTATATGTACAGTACATAGTTGTAATTAAAGTATTGTTTGAAAATACTTGTATTGGAATTTTTTTTTGAAGGAACGTTTAAAGATAATTCTTTTTTTCCTTTAGCTTTAATGGGTGTTCCTTTTTTAACAGGTTTTTATTCAAAAGAAAACCATTTTTTTATTTTAAAAATTATAAAAAAATAAGATTGTAATCACATACAAATATAAAATAATATATTTATTAAAAACTTGTATATTTTTAAGATATACATGTTTTTAATAAACCTTTATTTAATGAAATTAGAAAAAACATCAATTAAATTTTCTAAGTTTATTATTACCTACTGTGGAGCTAGTATTACTTTAGTTCCTTGATTAAAAAAAACTATAATAATAGAAAAATATAAAATTATTAAACATCAGTAATAGAAATAACATTGGTAGAGATATAAGCTGACACATCACCAGCTTGAGTACGTATAGTGTACAGTATAGTATATAGTATACTTGGCGCATCTATTTGAGGACTCCTACCGCTTGAATGCGGATACACGCGGCAGATCGAACGTCCAATCGTTGAGCCAGCAACGCCATAAACAACGCTTCGTTGAAAAACACAGTCGTGGTGCCCACAGCATACTCGCACGACGTTCTAGACAAACACAAGGCATAAAAAATAGAATATTAATTCACCCAAGTCGATCAAATATATATATA